TGTTTTTTAAGGAACCCACCTGGAGTTCTCGCTGGCAAGAAACGAGTGTGCCGGGGGAAAGAGCCTTCAGAGATTACACACACATTTACAAGGAAGCTTATTATTAAATAATGGAAAAGCACAGTTTTTCTGGGACCTTTACAGACTCTTGATTAACAGGGACTTTAATAATTATAAAAACAACATTGAGGAGGTTAGTGTAGTAAATCCCACATGTAGTAGTGTTTGGAACCTTGTAGGTGTGTGGCGATGAGTTTAATCCATACAGGGAAGAAGACTGAGTTGAGAGTTGAAAGGCTAAATAATTAGGAAGGAACTTGATTTGATATTTATTTTAGGAGGACCTTCTGATGCATTGATAGAAGTCAACACTTCTACATTGACTGTCTTATTTAACACATGGTTTTATGGGAATAAAGATATGGAGAGAATTCTAGTTCCAGTTAGAAAAGGGAGGCAGATCCTTGCTAGGTGGTTGGGTGGTACCGAGAATCTAGACAAGGCTGCATAGTGGATGTGACACCAGCACTGGGTCCAGAAGATTTTCTGTCTGTGAGTACAGGTGAACAGGGAAGGCTTTGTGGCTAGAGGGAGCGCCGGGAGTGCCAGAGCAGGTGGGCTCCTGGAGGTAGCGATGGGAGGCGGAGTTCAGGGCGCTTTGCATCTTGGCCTCAGTTCGTTAAGGGTGTAGATCTATTGAAGGATTTTGAGCCCTGAGCTGACACTGATTGAGTCCATCAATGCCGTGTCCTAGCGACAGCTTGTGTGGCTTTGGTTTGCATGCCAGGCATCACATTAGCTGTTAGATGTTGACTCAGCCGAGGCAGAGGCAGGTCTGACTCGGTGAGAGCTGGTGCCAGCTGCTGTCAGCTGAGGTCTAACTTTTGTTTCCTTTCTAAAAACGTTTCATATTGATGCTGACAGAAGGGGCTTCCACATAGGGATTGGTTTCTGCTTTCCATGCGCTGTGCTCAGTGACTCACCCTTACAGGAACTCTGAGATGTATATGTTGTAAATCCTCATTTTGCAGAAAAGGAAACTTAAATTTAGCAGAAGCTGGGTACCTGGCTTCACCTTATGCAACTGTGAGTGTCAGAACTTCGGACCCTGGGACTGTCCTCGTCCAGACGCCCTTATCTTAGTGCCTCTAAATGCTGCCCGGATGGCAGCTCTTGTGAGATCGCACTGCCAGGGCGCCGCTGGGGGCCTTGCTGCATTTGGCACTCTGTTTGCTTCCAGAGGATCACTACAAGTCTGATCTCTTCTGCTGCGCTCCCAGCTGTTGCCACTGTAGGTTTTGGAGGCTGGGAGGACCTTCTTTAGTCGAGTGCATCTCTGTCCTTACCCGTATGATGTTTTCCTGTTCCAAAGCGGCACGTCTCACCCCTGGTTTGGTGCTGCTGTTTAGCATCCCACTGCGAGCATGCTCATTTGTATGTGGCAGCACGGACTGCGCGACCCCGAGACCCCCTCCTTGGCAGCCTTCTGCTCTTCGGGTTACTTAGTAATAAGGAATTCTGGCATTGGGGTTCTGGGGTGCAGCGGGGAGCATTACTGAAACAATCCTGTTATTCTTCTTTAGTTCTGGTCACTCACACCACTCTTGGTAATAGTCACGTTCATAAGTTTCTAGTAATCCAGGTTCGTGGGAATTAATTTCTAACTACAGATGTCTTTGTATCTTCCAAATTTCTTAAATGCACTAAGAGTCCTTCACCACTTTTTGCTTCCATTTTCCTCCCTCCACATCTTTCCTACAGCCTTTATGCACTCTTTTTGTTTCTTTTTTTCTTTCCAGTTTTAGAAAATCAATTACTTATTTATTTGGTACAGGGTCTCACTATGCAGCTCAGACTCATAGTGATCCTCGTGTCTCAGCTGCACCAGCACTGGGATTACAGGCACGTGCCCCCACACCTAGTTTTGGTGGGGCCTCCTTGGCATGGGGCCAGCACAGCATGCGGTACCAGGGATCAAACTCTGGTCCTTGTGCTTGCCAGGCAGGTGCTTAGACCCCCAAGCTATCTACCCACCCCCCCACCTTTTTTTAAATGACCTGAAACTGGGTCCCTGATCAGACTAATCACATCAGAAAGCCTCAGGGTAGTGTGGTAGGCAGCCAGCCCACCCCACCCCCAGGTTGTGTCATGCCCTCAGGGCTGAGAGCCCTGTTCTGTTTCGAAGTGGGTCCCTCGTGCCACTGTCTGTGGGGCCCCCTTGCCACCTTCCCACCAGCTGTGCTTCTTAGTAGGTGCAGGGTGTATAACATGATGGCCATGTTTTTTGTTTTTAATTTTTTAATGAGAATTCTAGATGTACCCTAAGTTTTTTTCTTAACCTGCCCTATGTCTTAGTTCCCAGACCTTGATCTGATTGGTATAATTTCATGCCAATTAGTTACAGCTAAACTAATTCCCAAGCAGAGTTTAGATTGTGAAATTTTACACCCAGTAATTTTTTTTAAAAAGGATACATGATGTTTATAAACAGTTAACTGAACATAAAGGCAACAAGATAGAGAGATACAGTTTGCTCTCTATCTGTGGATTAAACCAACCGCAGGAGGAACATTTTCAGGGAGATAATGATGTCTAAAAACACAGATTTTTTTCATGTCATTTTCCCCCAACCAATGCAGTATAATAACTATTTATATAACGTTTGCTTTGTATTTGGTATTTTAAGTAATCTAGAGATGATTTTAGAGGATGTGCTTAAGTTTTAGGCAGATACCATCCCATGTTACACAAGGGATTTAGGCATTTGTGAATTTTGCTACCTTTGGGGGTTTCTAGAGCCCGTTCATTGTGGGTCCTGAGGGACATCTCTGATTTTCGAATACTTGCTATGTGTAATGGGTTCACAAAGGATTTTTTTGTTTTTGTATGTTTGTTATCTTTTCTATAATGAGCATACATTCTCCTATATTTCAAAAAAATCTTGTAAAGGAGGATATACCCAAGCAGGGGTGTGCCAATGAGTTATTTTTGAGGCTAAAATATTCCACAGGGATATTGAGAATAGTATCATATCGAGAGCAAGTTAATAGCAAGGCTTGGCACACAACAGCTAGGATCTGGATCCTTGTTATTTTCATTTTTGTTAATTATAGCTAAACTAAACTTGTCTTATCTGGTGGTTGATGTATTTTTTGGTTGACCAAGTGAGTGTCATGACACTTACAACATGAACATCAACAGATGATGACACTGATGTTTAATGTTTTTAGTGCCGGCGGGTCAGTTTTAATGATAATATCTGTAACACGGTGGTGCTTTCTGGAAAGTTATTAATAAAACAGGATGTTGGCTTAGTATCTAATTAAGTTCTTGCATTAGTTTCTCTATTGGAGCTTAACACTTCTGGTGCGCACTTAAAATTTAATTTTAAAAGGACGTGGCTAAGACGTGGTGTAGACCAGAACTTACCAGGAGTTCTCACTGCATCTTCCTTCAGGTAACTTCAGTGGTAGCTAATGATCAGTTTCCTTTCTGCTCCTCACTGCTGTGAGTTTTGGCCAAACAATGGGAAACAGCGGCGCCTCCCTAGGACGGCCTCTTCAGAAGTGCGGTTTTGCTAATCACTGGGGAAAATGGGCTGTGAGCTTCTAATTACTGCGTTTTTATCCACAGACTGGGCTAAAGTTGGCATCACATCCACATCCGTCGTGGTTGCTGGAGCAACACGTAGATTCAGTTTGTGCCCCTGTGGCAGACGTGTTGTGAATAATTTTAGTCACTTTTTTCCCTGCTACTTTTTCTCCTTCCTTTCCCACTTGCTGTCTGCTCCCTTTGTCTGCCTCCAACCCTGCTGAGTCCCGAGGCATCTGTGCTGGTTGATGAGAGAGAGTAGCGCAGTCGTAATCGAAGGTCCGGGTGCTTGCGCCAGGCAGCAGCCACCCTGTGTCCTGAGGCCGTCCTGAGGGAAGGGTAGGGTCAGTCTGTGGGGCGAGCCAGCCGCTTTACAGACTGGCCAAAACAGAGAGTAGAGCAACAACACAACAGGACAAACCACAGGTGTGTTTTCAACCTGGCTTGGACCCTAAAGATTGGGCTCCGGGAGAATGTACTCAGGGGATTTTACATTGTTTTTCCTCTAGAACTGAGATTTCTTGAGAGTGTTTTTCTCTACTGTAGTGATTACTGCTGTATCTCCCATAGTTTTTTAAAATCATATTGGCCAGATAGCTCAGTGGATTAAAGCACTGGCTTAGGCAGACGCAGGGACTAGGGTTTGATCCCCGGCATGCCGTGCTGGCCCTGGCCTTGGAGCAAGCTGAGATGGCCATTGAGACTGGGCATGGTGGTGCACCCCTGTAATCCCAGCACTTGGGAGGCTGAATACAGGTGGATCACTGCGAGTCCAGTCTGTATAGTGAGACCCTGTAGACCTGTCCCAAATACGTTAAAACAAAAACAAAAACATATTGTTGTTTAACATGAAAGATTGTCAGATGGAGTAAATGTAAGTGTGGGTATTTTTCTTGTACGTGAAATATCATCAAAGCACAGGAAGACAGCTGTTCTTTCTATTTTAAAAAATCATTTATTTATTGCGCACAGGGTTTCTCTACACAGCTTGGACTTCCCAGTGCTGGGATTACAGGCATGTGCCCTCAGGCCTGGTTTCGGTAGCCAGCACGATGCTCCCGGGTTTCTGGGTTTCTGGGGCCAGCTTGGCATGCGGTATCACGGGTTGAACCCAGGTCCTTGCGCTTGCCAGGTGGGTGCCTAGGTCGCCAAGTGATCTCCCCAGCCCTTGTTTGTTTCTTGTAAGAGCTGGTCAGGACGTGTTCTGACCCTTGTGGGGGTAGCCAGTTTATACTAGTCTGCAACATCTGAGGGCTTTGGAATGGGGTTATCATTTGTATACAGTAAATGTTGCATTTGTAAGTACGTACTCAAAATCATTAAAAAGGGAGAGAAAAAAAGTATAATTCTTAGACCATTGAGTCTAGATTTCGGAGTCTTTTTCTTCTTTTTTTTCTTCTTTCATATAGAGTGGACACAAATATCTACCAGATATCTTCGGGAGCAATTGGCCAAGATTTCTGACTTTTACCACGTGGCCTCCGGCGCAGGTGACGGCCCTATCCCTGTGCCACCGGAGGTGGAGCAAGCCATGAAGCAGTGGGAATATAATGAGAAGCTGGCTTTCCACATGTTTCAGGTGATCTTTCTGAGTCATGCAGGGCTGTGGGGTGCTTTGAAAAGAGCAAATTGTATATAGTCACTTGCTGCTGAATGACAGGTGTAGGTTCTGAGCAGCGTGTCACCAGGCGATTTCATCATGGTAGGAGCATTGTAGGGTGTGTTTCCTAGATAGTATAGCCTACTACGTGCCCAGATGGTATGGTACGAACCTGTTGTATGTGTAGTCTTTCATGGATGGAAACATTACTAGTGTCTCATGTATTTTCTGGGGGTTAAATTCTGCCTTCATGCACTGTATATATTCGGAGAAAGCAGTCTCCATTCTTCACATTGCCTTTCAGGTAACACATTTGTCTTGAGATGACACCATAGGATACATCCAGCTTTCTACAATGTGAGCTCCTTCAGTGCCATCAATTATTTTCTAATTGTGCTAGTAAAAATAATCCTACTCCTTTTGTTTGATTAGTTTGGATATATGTATGAAATAACATCCTGTGGGGAAGCCACCTATTTTATATCTGCTTAAGAGTTCAGTTATTTCAGTTAATTAAGAAAGGTTATCTTAATTTGGTTCAGCTACAGTTTAAAATGCAAAATTGAGGGGAGGCTTTGGGGCAATGAAAAATGACGGCGCGCTCATGCAGGCGAGGTGATGTGAATCATTCTGACCAGAAGAGGGCGCCTGTGTGTTACTTTTCTCAATCTGTGTTAGTGGCCAGGTGGAGGAAGTAAGTTTAGCTAAGGCCGTGTTGCTCTCAAAGACTTGGTACCAGCTGTATTACTCAGAGACGAAGAGGAAGTGTGGTTCTTACATTTTCCCTTTAGAACCTTCATTACAGTATTTTTGGGGTAATATTTTTATCAAGAGCTCAAACTAGGAAAAAGTGTAAACTGTATGACCAATAGTAATGTTTTTAAGTCAATAAAAGAAACTGTTGCAAATCCCGGTTTTGTTTAGAATAGATCTAGTTCAATGTTTGTGCTTAGTTTTGAGGAGTCTTACTGAGCTGAGAAGTTTAGTCTGCATCTTGGAAAACATGTCTCAGCGTAAAGTTTTTGGAAGGACTGTCTCAGATCACTGGGAACAGTGAGATCAGATTTTTCTTTTCTAGAACACAATGACTCTCTCTTTTTTGTATTTAATACAGGGTCTGCAGGGTGTCTCTTATTTATAGCCTCCCACGCACTGGGATTACAGGCGCATGCCACCGTGCCCAGTCTCAATCGCAGTCTCCTCGTGCCCCGGGGCGGGGCCGGCATGGGACGCTGGGGATCAGACCTGGGCCGCTGCGCTCTGCCTAAGTAGGCACTTTAGTTTGCTGAGCTATCTGGCTGGCCCTAGAACACAGTGAGATTCTAAAGTGATGAACATAACTGAAACAACCTCCAATTGAGAAGCACTTTAATTTGATCTAGACTTGAGCCGGGGAGTGTGCCCTGGCACATACAGGTGCAGGCGTGCGTGTGTATGAGGGAGCCGGGCACGAAAGTAGACGCCTCTGAGGAGGGACTTGCGGGTCGGTGAAGACTTTTTTTTTTTTAAAAACAGTGTTTGGAACCTTGTGTTTGCTGTTTCTTACACAGTGCAAAACTCTCATTTTTCTTATTTTATTTATTTTTATTTTTATTTTCATTTTTTTCTTATTTACTTTATTTATTTATGTATTTATGGTGGAACTGGGGATTGAACTCAGGCCCTTGTGCTTGCCAGGGAAGTGCTTATTCTGCTGAGCCATCTCCCCAGTACTTCTTATTTACTTTAAACACATTTGTATGTTTGTCTTAATTACTCTTCTCTCATTGCTGGGACAAATACCTGATACCCAAAATGAAGGAAGGAAAGGTTTATTCAGCTCCCAGTTACTGGAGGGTTCAGTCCATATTCAGCTGGCTCCAAGGCAGAGTGGCACATTGCAGAAAGTGACCTTTCCTGGCAGCAGCAAAGAGCAAGAGCACAAGGGAGAGGCAGCAGCAGCTCAAGCAGCTGGCTTCTCTTCCCTCCTTACACTGTATTGCATATTTCCTGCCCCAGGGCAGGTGCAACATCCACATCCACAATCACAAACTTCCCCATGACTACATGAGGCTTTGGGGGGACACCTGGACACAAACCATAACAATATTTAAATGGACAATTTTTTGAATTAAAGTTTACTGTTTTAAAATTTCAAATTGTACCTTTTCTGAGACTGACCTCATTGCCCTTTTTGACTTTTAGAGTCTTTAAAACTAGAGATAGACTAGAAGTTGGAAAGTAAGTACCTGTATGTAACATCAAATATGTTGTCACTGCAATCTTTTAAATATGCCAAATATAGTTTGTCACTATAAATTTCCATGCAAGCAAATGGGAAGTGGTCCAGGAGACTGAGCGGAAGGGAAGTAAGTAGAGAACAGATAGGCTGTTTGCATGCGCTTAATAATAGCAGTAATATGTCATTAAACAGTAAGTTTGTTTTATTTTTGAGACAGGGTCTCTGTTTAGATCAGGCTGCCCTTGAACTCGTGGCGATGGTGATCTTCCTTCCTCAGCCTGCCGAGCTCTGGGATTAGAGGCGTGCGCCACCGTAGCCAGCTTGTGTCCTAAACATGAGCTAAGGTTAATAACGTTCAGAAGAATGAAATTGGGGAAACAGGATTTAGGGAGGAGGCTGGGAAGTAGAAGGGAATAAGAGAATTTTTTTAAAAAAGGAAGCCGTATTATGTGCTTATATCAACTCCCCAAGATGATCAAAAACTACATGTACTGCAGACATGCATTAACAAAATGTTTATTTTCACACAAATCCCTGATAACAGTTGTAGTAGGTCACTGGTAAAGAATGAGTAGGGACACAGTAAGGTTTTGCATTAACTACTAGGTTTGTTACTATAATAGCCATAACGTTCTAAGTGTCTTTCCCAGAAAACATAGCCTTTTGCTTTTATTTTGAAGATTCTCTTGCTTTGGCTTGTAATAAAAAGCTATTATATGACATGAAATAGATGCATACACTGTCATAAGAGAAGGATTTGTGTATGTGTGTGTATGCAGATGCGTATGAAGGCAGCAGATGAAGGTGCTTGTCTCGTAAGTCCCTGGCTTAACATTCTTGTTGCCAAGGGCCACAGAAGCACTGTAGCAAACCTCGCCTAGCAAACACCGGTGCTGCTGTGTGCTCACCGTGCAGTGCAATAGCTTGTAGTCCTGCCACGCTCACTCAGAGCCCAGGATGTCTGGAACCAAGAGGAAAGTGAGGGTGTGGGGCTGCTGAGAAGTGCGGAGTAGCCGTGGGAACAGAGGTGAAGGTACCTGAGAGATTAGGCCAAGGCCTGCCGATGGTAGACATCACTCGCTCTTACACGTGCATCGTTCCACCACTGGCATGATTCTAAAGAGAAAGGACAGGATCGCGGGACGTGCGGAGTCTGTTGTGCCAGTGAGGTCGGTATCCCGATGCTGTGGGACAGTGATAGAAGAGACAGAGACACTGCAGGTGTGGATGCAGGGTCAGCGTCAGCGTTGCATCCCACTCAGCTGACTACTTTGTTCAAGAAGAAGCTAGAAGCCTATTTGAAGGCTTGCAGCAAAAAAGTGAGGTGAACAGAGCGCGTCCGTATGGCCAGCCATAGGTAGTTTAGCAGATTCAGGGCTAGAGCCACCCCTGCAGTGGAAGGTGCGGAGGCTGAGTGCAGGTATCACAGCTGCCCGGGGATTTCCAGCAACACAGAGAAATTATTGCTGAAGGCGCTTATTTACCCCAAGAGGTGTTTAATGTCCGTGAGCCAGTACTGTACTGGGTGAGGAGGAGGATGCCAGGAAGAGGCTGGTGCCAGGCTTCCCAGCAGTGAAGGATAGGCACACTCTGTTGTTTGGGAGCACTGCTTCCAGAGATACGAAACTAAAGCCGCTCTTAATTTACCATTCAGAGAACCCAAGAGCCCTCAGAGACACAGCCAAGGGCTCTCTGTTTGTGGAACAGTCACTACAAAGCCTGAGTCATGCAGACCATTTTCCAGAACTTTTCCTCATCACTTTATCCCAGAGATACAGAAATTCACTACCGTTTGGAGAAAGATGGCCTGTTGAGTGTTCTTTTGCTGCTTGGCAGTCCACCAGGTCACCCCCAATCCTACGGCTCTCGTATGGATACTGTGGCACTCATCCACCCTATGGGATAAGGAGTTGTTGGGACTTTCAAGAAGCATTATTTGTATCACACTTTTTGCAACTGACAAAACAAGAATAGGCTTGTGACAATTTTGGAAGGACTGAAACGTCTGTGAGGCCATAGAAGATACTGCCTTTGCTTGGCCAGGGTTTCAGCTGTCCCCATCATGAACGGGGTGTGGAAGAATCTTAGCTCATAGTTTGTTCCTGAAGTTCATGGACTTGAGCTGGTGGGTGAGGAGTCAAAGGAGGTGTTCAGCAACTTAGTGACCCACAGCTAGAAGCCGGTGCCACGTCCACAAGGGGACAATGCCATTGTACTCTTAGTTCTGCAAAATGAGAAACTTACTCATGAGGACCTGATAGAATTGGAGGACCAGCAAAAAGATGAAAGGAGCCAAGAGGAGGACATCACTGAAGCACTGGAGAGACTCGCAGCACAGGAAATGGCAGGGGGATTTTCTGTACTTCAAGGGGGCACTGCTGGTTTTTGAGGCACAGGACGCCAACATAGCATGACACACAGGGTTGCAGCAGCTGTTCAGGGTGGTGTCCAGTGCTGGAGTCTCCTGTGATTAGAAATGAGGGTTGCTACCCAAGCATCATGGGTGCTTTGTTCAAGAGTGTGGGCGGAACTGACTCCCTCAGAAGGCCGTGCCGCCAACCGCAAGCGTGCCCTGTGGTCGTCTTGCCCTTCCCCTCCTCTTGCCCATGATGGCTCAGGTCAACCAGCCCCACCCGCCCCCTCCTCCCGTTAGTGACACTCCTTGTCAATTGGCTCCATGTAATCCGCTGTATGCCAGTTGCTGTATTGTGCTGTGCCACCATTTGAAGCTAACTGTAAAAGTAAACGTACCTTATTTACAGTATTTTTGTATGTTTGGCTATTTTTATTTTTTATGCTTTACACCGTATATTTGTGTTAAAGGTGTGTAAGTCTTACTTTGTCAGAGTTATGAATGAATTTGACTTACACATGTTCTCCGGGACAGGAACTTATTGATAAGTTGCAGTTTATTGTAGTGTTTATGTCAATGTCAGGTGTCCTGTGGGGGTGTAACTCAGTGGCAGTTGGCAAGCAGGCACAAGGCCCTGGGTCCATCCTAGGACCAAGGGAAAAAAATAAAGTGGTGGTCTCCAGGGGAGCTGTACCATCCTTTATGGTGCAATTTTTGTATTTCTGAAGATGGTTTAGGTTTCTAGTGTGGCCATGTTGGGTTATTTATACATTATTTCATGATAAAGTTCTTGTATGTCTTTGTATTGATTTGTAAGTGTGCATTTTTGTAGGTAGGCTGCAGTATCTTGAAGTCGTTTTTGGACAGGAAAGGAGGTTGTGGGGGTGCTGAGCTAAACCTTTATGGAGAGGATGACAAGAATGGCCCTGTTTTTCTTTGTGACTGTCACTTGTAGCTGAGATTCACCTCTTGAGCACCGGTTCATACTTCTTCAAAATCCTTCTGGTGTCATGCATCCAAGGAGCGTGAAAGGCTGTGCATTCTCATTTCAATTTAGAGTGAAGCAGATGATCAAAAACTAAAGACAAAATCTTACAGCAAATATACCAAAAGACTCTAGTTCATTTTGTTCACAACTTGGCCTGTCATCAGTAAGACCATGCTTCAGTATAACAATAAAGTAATTGTAAAATTACACTTAAGTGTAAGCGTAACAGTGCCTTGAAAAAGCTGGCTTTTCTGTAATACTGTTGTTGCAATTTTTCATTGTTCACTTAAGGAAGGAATGCTAGAGAAGCACGAATATTTGACATGGATCTTGGATGTTTTGGAAAAGATCAGACCGATGGATGACGATCTTCTTAAACTCTTGTTACCACTGATGCTGCAGGTACAGTATGTCACCTTGAGCCAGGTGGCTTTCCAGGGAAGAAATTAACCTGGTAAGAATAATTAGGTAATAAAGGTAGAAATGTAAAATAATCCTCTTGAAATGGAATGGAAACAATGTGTTGATGCTGTAAAACGTGAAGTGGTGAGAGGCTTCAAAGCGTTAGTAGTCATGTGTCAGCTCCGTTCATAGTGTTTATCTACATGGAATCTCGCCCATTTTGAAATCTTTCACATCTGAGCTAAGCGAAAAGCTCTTCAAATAGCGTCTCTCCTTTCACACAGATGACCTAAAAGCAAATCACTTCTTCTGAAAAATAGAGAATCTTCTACACTCTTTTTGATAATTTTTTGTGTCTCTGAGTGTACGAAATTTCTTGTTTTGATGATTTGTCTAAGATCTATTAAAATTTAGTTTATCTGGGCAAGATTTGAATTTTTTCCCCTGTAAAGTAATACATGAATTTGATAATTCATTTTCCATCTTACTAGAATACAAGTTCTCAAAGTTAAGTATAGGCGACCTTCTGGATTTCTGCAGTCTGTTGGGATTTCACCCTTTTTATTCCTAGTTGCATGGATTTGAGTCTTTTTTTTTTTTTTTTAATAAAGTTGGATAAAGGTTTACCAATTTTATTTAATCTTGTAAGAACCAACTCTTTGATTCATTGATTCTTTGTGCTTTTTTAGCATTAATTTCTGTTAATGCGTTAACTTCTGCTCTGATCTTTCTACTTTCTTCCCTTATTTGAATTTCGGGCTTAGCCTGCTCTTCATTTTCTAGAACTTTGAGGTTAGTCGTTATTTGTGCTTGTTCTGTTTTCCTGATAGGTGTTCACTGCTGTAAACTTCGGTCTTAGGACTGCTTTCATTGTGTCCCATGAGTTTTCTGTATGCTGTCATTATCATTTAATTGTAGAAACTGTCTAATTTCTTCTTTAATTTGTTCAGGAGGGTGTTATTGAATTTCCATGTGTTTATGGACTTCTTGTGGTCTCTTTTGCCATTGATTTCCAATTTCATTGTGCTGTGGTCTGATAATATGCATGGGATAATTTCAGTTCCTGTGTATTTACTTAAGCATGTTCTGTGAGCTAGTATGTGGTCTGTTTTGGGGAAGGTCTCATGTGCACCTGAGAAGAATGTGTAACAGTGCAGACATCTACTGAGTCCAATTATTCAGAAGTTTGTTTCAGTTCTAATACTTGATTGTTGACTTTTTGTCTGGTTGATCTGACTTTGTGACAGTGGGGTATTGAGATCCCCCAGTTCAACTGCGTTACTGCTTACTTGATGTTTTGTACCTGTTAATATTTATTTTGTATAGTTGGGTGCACTGGTATTTGTTGCGTATGTATTTATGTTTTTTTCTCTCTTCCTCTTGAAGTGTTCCTTTTGCAAGGATGTAGCAACCTTCTTTACCTCTCTTAATCAGTCTTGGCTTGAGATTCACTTTGTCTGCAAATAGAAGAGCTATCTCTGTTTTTTTAGGGATTCCTGTTGCATGGAGTATTACTTTCAATCTTTTGACTTTCAGTGTTGGCATTTCTGTTTGAATTAAATGTGTTTTTTATATGCAGCATATTGTTGGATCTTGCTTATTGACCTATTCTGTCAGTCTGTGCCTTTTGAGTGGTGAATTGGGACCATTAACATTGATGGTTATAACTGATATGCAATGACTTATGCTTGTCATGTTATTTTCCTGTTGCTGGTCCTTTCCCTGTCCCCTCTGTTTAATTGCCTTACCTGGTGGATTCCTTCTGTTTGCTTTTATAGAGTTGTAGTCCTTGTTATCTCTTTGTAGAATGGCTTTCAAAACATTTTGGAGTGCTGGCTTGGTGGTCATAACTTTCCTCAGATGTTCTGTGTCATGGAAGTATGATATTTTCCCATCAGTTGTGAAACATTAGTTTTGTGGTGTACATCATTCTGGTTTGAAGATTATTTTCCTTTAGAACTTGAAATACATCACTACGGGCTCTCCTTAACTTGAGGGTTTGTGCTGAGAAGTCAGTTGTTATTCTCAGGGGCTTTCCTTTATAGGTAATTTGTTTCTTTTCCCTAACAGCTTTTAAGATTCTTTTATTTTTTTTAAAGGGAAAAGAATATAATAAAAAGATGCAGAGTTTTAATAGAAGATGGTATAATTGACGCCCTGGCACCACATGCCGTGGCTGCCACACCCCCTGGCTTGCTGAGCTGGCTGCCAAGACTGGGCATGGTGGCATATACCTGTAATCCCAGTGCTGGGGAGGTGAAAGCAGGAGGATCGTTACGAGTCAAGCTGCGTAGTGAGACCCTGTACCAAATACATTCAGAAAGAGAAATACAAGATGATATGAAATTAACAATCGTTATTCATTTCATATTGTTATCGTCAAAGTAGTTGCGCAGATTATCAGATAAAGACATACAAAATTGATCACACAGTGTAAGATTCTATTCTTGTGTTGAATTTCTGGAATCTTGACTGTGATATACTTTCCCGTAGATTTTTTTTTTTTTTTTTTTTTAATTGTGGATAATTGGAGTTCTATGATGTGCTTTGCTTACTGTATGTCAAATTCTTTTTCTCTACTAGGGAAATTTTCTGGCATGATGCCTGTGAACAGTTTGTTTTAATATATACTTAGTAGTATCTCCTGCTTTTCTACTGGCCCTAATCAATCTTTAGTTATTCTTGTTTGCTTCATCTAGCAGCTGCTGCCCTGATTTCTTACAATCCCTTGCTATTTTAAAGAAATCTTTCTTTTTGTGATTGCTAACTGCAGCTTATCTACTATATATGAGATCTTGTTCTCACATTGGATGTCTGCTTGAATCTGCCTCTTGACCTCATTGCTTTCCTGTGCTGAGCATTCATGGCTTCCATACTTTTCTTAAGCTCCTCTTTTTAAAAATCTGTATCTGCTGTAGGGTCACAGAGCATGGTTTTCATTGTGCACACCATCTCTGCAGTCATTTGAGAAATTATTTGTATTTTCATTTTTTCTAGAACCTCATTTAGTTGCTTTTTTGTTGTGTTTCAGAGAGGCCAGTTAGATGGCTTTCAGACTGTCCCACCTCTTTGCTCCCTGGCTTTTGCCTCTGGTGAACTGGATGTCTGGGGTTGCATCTTTAGTGTCTTCTCATTTTGGTTTTTTTTGTTAGTTTAATTTCTGGGGTCATGCTTGTAAGTTGCCTTTGGTGGGTTGTTTCATTGCCAGGGGTTCTAAATAAAATCCTTATTAAATGACTACTTCTCTGAGGCATCTTCCAGGTGCAGCTGGTTTTTAGGTTTTGAGTCTGTTGCAAGCTCCTACCTCTTCAAATTGTTGAGCATGAGAAGTTGCTGCCTGTTTGGTCCAGCTTGATTCTTTGGCACTGTGCCATAGTATTTTCTGTTATCCTTAGTCAAACTCAATCTTAGAATACCAGGAAGAACAGCTGTTTTAGAACAATTATGCCACTTTTGGCTATAATGGTGCCATCAGCAATGGTAATAGTGTTAAACACAGCCTAGAAAATGACAAACTGTGCTAATCATTAATTTGCCACTTTCAAATGTTTGAACTAGATTCATGGTTATATAAGAAAATTTAAAACAAACCGGAAAATTATAAGCACTATACAATACCTTAATATGTCAATTTTGCTATCAGGGGTTAAAGTTTAAAATGGGTAGAGAGAAAGTAGAGAAGTGGAAGAAGAGGAAGAGATTAGAAGATCACATTAACGTTGGGAAACTGGTGTAGAAGACCAGAGGGAAAGATAGAAAGAAAAGATTAAAAAAGAACAGAACAGTACCACAACCATAAAGAAGCTAGAAACCATATTTATACTCATGAAAACAAAATCAAACAATGAAGGACAAACAAAGGCAGAAAAAAAAAAAAAAAAAAAAA